TGCAGTGGGATCTAATAACAGGAGCAAACAGGCAGTTGAAGCCTCTTTCCTTTTTAATATCTATTGCATGTATCACACAAGTGTAAAAAGGGACAGGCCTTTAGATCCTCAACATTGTCAGACAATATTCTTGAAAATTACATATGGATCAAAGAAAGTGCAGAATACATCCTACTGAAATATATTCTGCCCTGTCTTGGATTCATATGTAATTCTCAAGAATATTATCTGACAATGGTTAAGAGATCTAAAGGCCAAGATTTATAGTTGCTAACTTCAGCCCTTAAAATTACTTCTGTGTGTATCAAAGCCTAAGTCCACCAACTGCAGTACCCCCTGACAATCAGGGCTTTTTTTTCCTCATAGAATGCCCAGAACAGAGTTCCGGCACCTTTTTTGGATGGAATCTTGTAGGGTAGGCAAGGCGGGTTGTATGAAGTATGTGAGTTCCGGCACCTTTTTTTTTTTTTTTTTTTTTTACAAAAAAAGCACTGCTGACAATGATAGCTAAAAGAAACCAAACTGATTTGTCAAATGACACATATATATGAGGTGAGATGGCTTATCATGTTGAAGTTAAATGAACTGCGGGGGGGGGATCCAAGCCAACTTAATACAGCAAGAATTGAAATCTTGTTAGCACAAAAGGAACAGAAATCTTATAAATATTCAAACCCTTAATCAAATTGCTTAGGGAAAAAAACTGTTTGGAATGTTCATAATTACTTTAAGTGGCTTATTAATGTTATCATTTTATGATAGTGATGGTGCATTGGGGACATCTAATACTAAATTGTGTCACAGAAGCATACTAAACACTTCATGTTTGGCCACTTGGGATTATTATCCTAACAAATGAAAGCAACACTTTCCAGTATTAATAATTCCTGGAATTTATATAGTGCTTGAGAGTTTCAGTACTTCCTATACAGTGGTGGGATTCAGCCGGTTTTCACCACTTTGGTAGAATCGGTAGCTAATTTTTTGTTGCCCAGACCAGAACCGACTTCCAGAAGAGGCATCCACACAGAGAACCGGTTGTTCACATATTTGAATCCCACCACTGTTCCTATAGTGTGATTCAATTTCCCTGTATATTTGTAACCATCCCTCTAGCCATCTAGAGTGGCTGAAAGAGGCTAACTTGCCTAAGGATGACTAGGCAAGCTTATGAGAAAATATCATTTGAACCAGGAATTCTGTGGTGCAGTACCCTACAGTAACTATTATGCTGAAGAGGCCAAAGGGTAAATAATATGACAGGATTTTCATCTTTCATGTCATGTTTTGGATCCCATGAATTGTAAACAGCAACATTTTCTGACAAACATGGCGGTGAATGTTGACCCCTATGAGAATCATATCCCAAATTCCATAGCTTTTGTCCTTAATTTCTTCTGCTGACAACATCTGATTAATTCCAGGTGAGTGAACTCCTGATCTTTCTGTATCCATTAAAATAATGGAAAACTGTAAAACAACAGCTTTTGGTTTGATGTTTTTTGTCAGGAAAATGTGTTCTTTATTCGGCTATATTCTTCCCTACTTTCCAATGTTTTGTTTTTTTTTAGTCAAAAGCCTAAAATATAAAAACTAACCACCCAATTACAAACAAATATGCAGAATTAATGAGGTTATTTCTCATGTGGGTATAAGCTTAAATATGTGTATAACAAGATATTTTACTTGTATTTGGATGTCTTTAAATAGTTATAGCAAAGAATTAATTATTCAGTATATTAAGCATAGACTTATAAAACCATGTAGTCAAAATAATGGGTCACATCTAGTAAGCTCTTTCATTAGGGCTGCTAGATCTGGACTGCAAAAATCCAATGACCTTTAGATAGAAGTAGAAGCATATAGAACACTCTCTGTTATCATCTATGGTTCATCTAAGCTTTTACAACCCAGAACTGTTAGTCCTACAGGCTTGTTTTTAGGTATATCTGGATCCACAGTTCTACCATTTTACAAACTACATAAAAAAATGTTAGGATTTCTTACGTTTACCTTGCAAAGTGATGCCTCTGTTGATCTTCCAAGCTCATTTTTGTGTTCTTGGGCCATTACACCCAAGTTAGCACATATTACACCTGTTACACAGCACAAATATACCCTTGTATGTCCTAAATATTTATTATTCTTTTCCCATTTTTTGTACTATTATGATCGTTCTTGTTGTCATTTGTAATTGTAAATTTGAAGATTTGAGATACTGAAAAAAAGCAAGAGAGAGGCAAATGAAAGCACACAAAAAATGAAAAAGAAAGCACAATAGCAGTGACAGTTTCTACACTATCATATGGAGTGTTCTTCACAGGTTTGAGATTTATAGGAAGATGTCAGTATCTCCTGGCCTATGAAATTCACAAATGCAGCAAAATGATAAAGCAGAAATAAGGAGGTTCCTTTTTCTAGTTTCCAGATAAATGGTATTTTATCATTTATGTTTTATTATAATGATATAAGGGGCATATTTACTTGAGGAACAGAACAGCCCCTGAGAACCAATTTTTGTCTAATGCAATTTTTGTCTAATTAGAACAAAACAAAACTTTTTAAAATAAGACAATTACAGGAGTGTAGATATATTCCCATGACACCCACAGATACTCACTGATAAAAATGGACATTTATCATGACAGCTTTAAAAGAAATATTAGTGTTTAACATTTAAATATCATTTAAAGGAAACTCTATCTTATTTGCTCTGGGAGTATATTTTTTAAGAAAAGATGTATTATTGTATTTTTGGTGGTTGCTAAATCAAAAGAGGGACTTTGGAATTTCCAATACAGAACAAAGTGCATTGATGTCAATGAAAACTCTAAAAATCAAAGACCAAGAAGAAGAGGCTTTCAAAAATCAGTCTTTGTATTTAACTTTGTCTGTTCCATTTTTGTGGCTGCTCAAGACTTTGTGAACTTTACAAAAGAATGTCTGATATTTCAAAAATACTGGATGCATAGTTTCAAAACTAACTGGGCTTTACAAAGAAGCAGCTTCTGAGAATGAAAACAACCACTTTTGTGAGCAAATGTCCATTCACATGGTCTTTTTCTTCTCCTCACTGTGGGTCTCCTTAATTCCCGAGAGCCTTCTGTGGAGGGTCCTTCAATCCCTTTTGGAGCTGGAAGAATTCCACCACAGATATGCTCAGGGAAGTCATTCTTTAAGCGGACAGAAATACTCTTGAATTTATAGTATTTCTTTAGTTCTTTCACGACTGTGCTGGTAAGATGGTAATCTTAAATCCTACTTAAAAGTATGCTTGAAACTGTATACATTCTATAACTTAAATAAATGATGTCACTGCTCTTGGAATGATGGCAGACTTTAACAGAGGCAGGTGCAAATTGTAATCAGAATGGAAATAAGCAGATGCATAAATATAGAAAGACAATAGGGTAGCTTTAATAAGACATACACACACACACACACTGAGTATTCATGCCAGAGAAGAGATTTAAGGTAAGAACTTGCTGCTCTATAACTAGGTTGTATATCAACTTTATTCATATGATGGAAGACATTGTAGAATTTTGATTATTTATCACTCGGGTATTCAAATCTTTATATTTCCTTTTTATCATTGGATTCAGAGTGAAATGTGTCCAATAAAGTGAATACCATACCACCAAGGGGATTTGGTATATACCCTTACAGAGTTAGAATAGAATAAGAATAGAATAATAACTTCATTGTCACTTTGAATGTACACTAATCAGTATACATTAAAATGAAATTTCATTGCATACAGCTCTCAAAGGATCACCACTTCCAATAAACACTACATAAATATGACATACATAAATAAATAAATACAGAATTATGCATAGACCCACATATATTATATGACACAGAGAAATAACACAGTCTAGTTCAGATTATCTATACATGTTTGTGGCGAGAAAAACGAATCTTGAGAGTTTACCAGACGGATGGCATAGGGAACAAAGCTATTACAGAATCGGATAGTCCTGCTAGAAATAATTTGAAACCGCTTCCCAGAGGAGAGCAACAGAAACAGACCATAAAGTGGGTGTATGGGGTCTCTTACAATGCTTTGAGCTCTAAGCACATTGCGCTTACACATTGCGAATACCAGGAAGTGAGCTTCCTATGGTCTTCTTGGCTGTCCTTACCATTCTCTGACTTTCTATCTGAGGCACTGCTGCCACCAAGCCAGACAGTGATTCCGTTTGTTAAAATGCTCACAATCGTGCCTCTGTAAAAAGTGGTCAGGACAGAAGGAGAAAGATGTGCTCTCCTCATCCGACGTAGGAAATGCAAACGCTGGTTTGCATGCTTCACTAAGGATATTGTGTGGAGAGACCAATTCAGATTGTTAGTTATCTGCATTTACTGTTGACCACCTCTACAGTTGCATCCTTGATACTGAGTGGAGTATGACTATGCCATCTCCTTCTAAAATCTACATGTTAGTAACATTTATTCAGGAGAAACAAGAGGAGAAAATGATATTTGAGTTGGGACTACAATTCCCTTTTCCCCCTTTATAATGGACTGGGAATTACTATGGTCTAATTATTTGCTTGTCTCACTTGTGACTTATTATAATATTGTTTGATATTTGTCTTTCTTATAAATGAGGTAGGGGATGCTAAATAAGATGAAATATGCTCTTCCTTGAGAAATATATGGAATGTTATGGCATATCAACAAGGAGGAGAAAGGAAGGAGAACATTGGTTTCACGCCTTCATAGTCCATAAGGTTTTCAATCATCCATGTACAGTTTGATTTACTGAATGAATGAATGAACCTTTATTATCAAAGTATAACATGTATACATTGAGACGGGAATAGTTTAAAAAAACCCTTATTTTGATTCTTATCTCCAAATAAGCTTACTCAGATTTAAGCTATTGATAGGATATAGTAAAAACAATGTTATTTCCTGAACTAAGTTTACTTTTAACATCTTATTTATTGAATGTTTTTTTTGTAAAAGCTATATTTTTCTCTTTCCAACAGAGCAAGTATTGTACAAAAGCGAATTATTTATTTTCAAGATGAAGGATCTCTCACCAAGAGGTTGTGTGAGCAAGGTATGGTGGAAAGCATTCCTTTTCTGTTTCCATTCTTCTTGCTCTCTATTGAATATGATTTGTCCACAACTTTTCTCTCTTTTAGTTGGGAGCATATGCCAGCTGAATTTAAATAATTTTCAAAATTGTATTTATTTCCGTGCAAGAAATCTGGCAGATTTTATGATTTGACTAGTTTCTACTACTTCCTAAATTAACTGCATCCTCAAAGTTACCTTTTAAACTTGGTTTTTTTGCTAGTATGTTACAAATGAATGTTCTTTCAGAATAGTGATCTCTACTTGGACTTCATTTATGTTGAAACTTAATTACAAGTAAATTTCGGCACTTTTCTATGTAGGTCTCCCTTGCTATTTTTTTTTTTTTTTAGAAAAGTTTTTATTTTTCAATTATCAATTACATAAACAAAAAAAAATTCACATTTGACAAAGTAAAATAAATACACCTAGATGTCGCTTGCCCACCCCCCCCAAACTGCATTCACCCTCTCTTACACTCTCCCTTACTTCCCTCCTCGTTCTCCCTCCCCTCCCCTCTCTCTCCCCTCCCCCTCTCCTCTCACCATCCTACTTCCTCCCTAACCTTTCTCCTCCTCTCTCATCCCTCTTCGGATACAGTACCGGGGAAATGCCCAAGCAACATCTCTCTCATAAGTTATCCCTTATTATCTTACTTTAATCCTATCGTCTAACCTACTTACCCGCCCACCCCAACCCCCCTCCCTCCCACTCCCAAAAACCCACCCACCCTCAACCTCCCCTCCCCCCCACTTCCCAGAGCTTGGCACAGGGTTTTCAAACATATTAAACAAAATCTACTTAACTTTAACTAATGCAAACTAAATCTAACTAAACCTATCCAACTATACAAATAATAAAATCAGTAAGTTACTTTAACTCAGATACAAAACAAATTTAAACAAATTAAAGAAAATCAACTATCAAAATCAAATAATTCCAAATTTAAAACAAAAATTATTCATGATCAAGACAATACTTTTAATCATATCTACTCTAATCATAATTTACCCATTAAATCCCATATTTATTTTAACTTTAACTAATACAAACTAAATCTCAATAAGTACTTTAACTCAAATACAAAACAATTTTTTAAAAAAAACAAATTTAAACAAATTAAAGAAAATCAACTATAAAAATCAAATAAACAATTCCAAATTTAAAACAAAAATTATTCATAATCCAAACAATACTTTTAATCATATCTGCTCTAATCATAATTTACCCGTTAAATCCCATATTTATTCTTTATAATTTATCCACCTCCTCCACACCGAGATGTGTATTTCTTTTAAACAATATAAATTTGGCTCTTAACTCTTTCCCCCCCAAACCCAAATAAATTTTGTTAATAACCTTTTCTCCCAAATTAAAATCCACTTTTAATATATCATAATGTATCATAGGTACTCTCAAATATTAAATCACCAAATTAAAACCTATCAACTCTTCTCTCGAACGGAAATCATAATTTTAAACTTTTAAACTTTCCCCTAAACAACAAAAATTTAACTTTATACATTTATTAAAAATTATAATAAGTACTCTCAGATATTAAATCACTAAATTAAAACCTATCAAGTCTTCTCCCAAGCAGAGATCATAATTTTAAACTTTCTCCTAAATAACAAAGATTTAACAAAACTCTTTATAACTAGCCGGCTGGTATTCCAACTTCTCCTTCTATTATCTATTGCTTAGAAAATGATGAAGAACCTTCTGCTGTTCCTTCATTTTACTTCTAAAAGCTGCACAAGTCATGCCCAATTTCTTTGATAAATCTTCTGTTAAGGAGGACTGCTGCAAAGGTTCAACTTGCATATTTTCTTCAATCAGCTGCTCTTCCAGCTTTTCTTCCACCTTTATTTTACTTCTAAAAGCTCCACAAGTACTCAATTTCATTAATGAATCTTCTGTCAAGAGAGATTGTTGCAAAGGTTTAACCTGCATATCTTCTATCGGTTGCTCTTCCAACTTTTCTTCTAATATCTCAGCTGTAGGTAATAAAGGGCCTGCCTTCAAAACAGAAGTGTAAAAATCTTTCGCTTTTAAAATTGTATCAAGTCTATAACGTATCCCCGCATAATTCACCACTATTCCAGCCGGTATCTCCCATCTGAAACGAATCTGTCGCCTCTTAAGCTCATCAGCCAGAAAAGCAAAATGCTTTCTTACTTTGAGAATTCTTGAAGGTAGTTCTTTCAGAAGTATGACATCCTGGGCTGCAATTTGAAATCTCTGCTTGTAAAAGGCTTGTAAAATTTTATTACGAAGTGATCTACTAAAAAAATAAATAACCACATCTCGTGGCAGATTCCTCTGTCTTGCAACCCTTGAATTAACCCTAAAAACTTTTTCTGTCTCTCTCAATATTTCTTCAGGCTTGGATTCCAAAATAAGAGCTATATCCTTTGCAACCACTTGTCTCAAATCTTCTTGATTATTTTCCTGCATTCCCCTTATTCTTAAAGCAAACTCCATACTTCTGTATTGTAACATAATAATTTCATCCTGAATTATTTCCACCTTATTTTCTATTTTATCTTCCAATTTTTCAGAATTTTCTACAGCAACATCAATACGCTGATCCAAACGATCTATGTGATCAGCAAACTTCTGAAACACAGATGCTATATCTTCTCTCAATTTCCTAAATTTATTTTCAATAATTTCACTTATCTCTTTTTCAATCCGTCGTACACTATCTTCCAAAGCGTCCTGTAAGTCTTTAGGTAAAACTGCTGGTAAAGCTGAGAAAAATGATGGAAATTTAGACTCAACTTGCTGAGCTGTCTGCATTACCGAAGAGGAGATTGAGGCTTTAGAAACAAAAGCTCCAAAATGTGTTGAAGCCATCTTAAAAAAGAAAAAACTCTTAAAATCTTATAAAACCTTTAAGAAAGAGAGAGAGAGAAAAAGGAAACAAAAGGAGGGGAAAAAAGACAAAAGCCCCCTATATATATGAAAAAAGAAAGAAAGAAAGAAAGCTGTTACATTGTTTCAAATTGAAGTTCCGGTCCTTTCACTCTTAAAAACAACATCTCAGCGCCATTTTTCACCCCTCTCAAATAAAAAAAGAGAGAAGATGAAATCTTTTCCAGAGTTAAAGTCTCAAAGTAATCACAGATATAATCTCCCTGGTCAGCTCTGTCTGCTTTAAATTTTACTCACAAGTTCATTTTAAAAGCAGATATGTAAGCAGTGTCTAGCTTTGCCCCCCCAAAAAAATTAGAGCAAAGGCATCCTGGAATGTGGAGAACACCTCAGACTCCGTGGGAGCTCTCACCCTCCAACCACCAAAGAAAAAAAAACTTTGGGCTCTCTCAGGGAGCCCTGCCACTATCCGAGGGAAACTCATCTCCTCCCCTTCACCCAGGGAGAGAGATTCCAAGCCGCGAGACGGCTGTTGCTCGCTGTCTCAGCTGGCTTTGACACATTCCAGGGCGGACAGCTGAAAACAGCCGCCATCGGCGCCGCCGTCACTGGAAGCTCCAGGTCTCCCTTGCTATTGATAATATTCATTCTTAAATTCATTCTGAAATTTCCCCAGACTATATAATCTTTGCTCTATACACTGGGAAATCTGACTAGGATTGCAGCTTTGGAAAAATATGTAGCAACAGAAAGAATTTTATGGATTTAGAATGGAACAACAAAAACACCCAAGCCACACATATGAGTACTGAAGTTTGTTTATTTATTGGATAGAAGTATAGAAAAGAACAATATATGTTTATGCCTGCTGAAACAATGTTGCATTGTTGCAAACAAAACTGATGTTCTGAACATTTGACTTTTTCCACATACTAGTGAAGAGCATATGTAGAACTGCTAATTTATATATTTGGGAAAGGATTAAATTCTCAAATTGTAGCAATAAAGGTTATACGGAAATTCCCTCCCCAAGTAACTCAAATGTGTGTGATAAGGAAGATCCACTACTGAGGCAATGATCAAGTAAATAAAACTTGAACCCAGGCCAAAAAACTTGTTCGCAAAAATGTCTCTAACAGCATGTGCGCACGCATGCACACACACACGCACACACACACACACAGAGCCCTAATTCTCATAAAACTAAAAAGGGGAGGACTTGCAAGTTTCTGTTACTAGAGCTGTTACAATGAAAGTACTATAGTCTAGTCTACCTTATAGGGGTGGGACCCACCTCAGACTTTAAACAATAAAACTGCATTCTTAGAAGAAGCTACTCCTGCCAGAGTAACATCTCTACTCAAAGAAGCAAGTGGCATCTACTCATCTTCCCTTCATCTCTCAAGTGCAGAAATAATGCAAAGTAGCTTTTTTTTTGCAATTGCCACCATAAACTGAAAGTTGCTTCACACAGACCCATCATGCCACTTTCACACAGCTAACCTAAAATATTTTGTCAAAAGAGAAGATGTATTTTTTTTCTATTTTCCTTAGCAGAAGCACACTGGATAGGCCGTTCAACTTTACAACACCGCTGGTCATATAGTATCTCCCATATTTTCATTTGCCTGAACAGTTTACGTAGAAAGATTGCATGTTCTGCAGATATTTAATTTCTTTTGAGATTACATTCAAAATGCATAATTTCTATGCTGAAGCATTCCAGAGAATGCTTTCTGGATCTTTTTGTGCAAGACAAAGTAATTCCTTTGTGCAGAACTGCAGAGGTAATTGCCACTGCAATTCATTTTACTTGTGGCTGTTTATTCTGTTAATCATAGTCATTTTAAAAGGGATTCCAGGGCAGATGACCTTCGTCTTTTCCCCTTTGTCCCAAGAATCCTGGATTAGCATAATCTGGCCTTGACTTTTATACTCTTTCTGAAATATCCCAAAGCATGTGCTCTAAGATGCTTAACTGAATTTAATAGAACATGACATATCTGACACTGGCCAGGCTATCTCACTTTCTGTGTCTATTTAGTAATGCAGATTGCTTTCATTTTGAAACAGCTCTTTATGTCATAAAGGGTGAATGTGCTCAGGGAAGTCAGTGGAGCAAGTTACATAAATGAAATGGAGATGTCTGTTTTGTGGTCCTGAATGCAGAAAAGTCAAAGGAAGCATTAAAAGCCAGAACAACTTGTTAAGAATTTGAATTGCATCCCATTCTGCATCTCAACATATTTTGAAACTCTCCTTTTCTTAACGGCATGTCTTTATTTTTATTTCAAAGTTTAGTATTAGTGTATGTACAAAACATTTGCTTACATTATATGTCACCGTGTTCTACCTGTAATATCACTAATCTAGACTGCTATGGCAGTGAGCAGAATTTTCATAAAATGAGAGTTGGACATGATATTGCCTCCCTTTGGGGTTTCTATTCCTATATGAAGAATTGTTGTTTAGAAGCATAGCCAAGAAAATTTATCTGTACTATCCAAACATAAACACCCATCGGAGAAGAGATTTGAGAAACATCTTTCCTCTAAATTATGTCTTTCAATGTTCTCTAATATTTTAAGGTGGGACCACCAGAATGTGGGAGAGCAAAGAAGGACCATCAATATTAGAGATAGCCTAGAATTCTACAATTTAATACTTCTCTTGTCAATATCTCCCCATTGGTACATGCAGTACATATGGTATTTTATGGAACTATGAAACTCTGTTTCAGGCCCTTTCACAGGAGGTAGGGTTATTTCAAAAAGGGGAGAGGGAATCACAAGGTTGAGAGAGAAGCAACAAATGAAGAATGCAGATAACCTTTGAAAAATGACAGGTAACCTTTGTTGCTTCTGACTCTCATCAGGCAGAATTTCAGCTGAACTGAAGTCATTTATAAATAAAAGACCATCTCTAGGTCCAGCTTAGTTCAAGATCACAAATGTACTCTGGCACTCAGTGTTACATGTGCAGTCAGCTGAGATTTACAAATATCTAGAGCTGTACTTTACGCAGAAAGAGAAGGATATATTGGGTTTCAAAAATGTATTTGCCAAGCCTAGTAATTCTACGTTTTGCAGACCATTGAAGTTTGGTGACTTAATAAAGTTGAAGTAGAATATGTAACACTTCTTTTTCCTAGGTGATTATGAGAGATTTGTGTTAAACTAGATTTTTTTTCTGAGCAAAATTGAAATTGGAGAATTAAACTATGTGATAAACTATATTATATAAGCATGTAGCCTTGCTTTTGCCAATGAAATACACTTTCTTAAAATACACTGTTTTATTTCAATATGGAGCCTATCCAGTATGATTATAGCCATTGCTGAATGTTTAACCTTCCTGTAAAGAAATGTGAAATTATCTCCTAGGGAAGTTGATTCAGTATAAGAGCCAAATGAACACTCATACCTTGGTTACTTCCTATTTGGATTATTGGATTGGTCCTGAATGTGGTAGCATCCATAGGCATGGATACACTTTGGTATGCCTATGTAATGTCACTTGTTTATAAGCTCCAGGGGCTTCCACTAACTCTTTGTATGTAATTCAGAATAATGGCTGCCACCACAAAGCCCTTCATGGTAAAAGGCTGAGTTATTTATAGGACTGTCTGTCTGCCTCCAATTATTTCTACCCAATTTAAGAGATCTGATGAGGTGGACATGCCCCTGACCTGTGGGCTGCCTGTTCCTTGCCATGAGCATTCTGTGAGCAACTCTTGAATCTGATAGTGAGTTTGAGAGCCCCAGCCACATAAATTGTGAAAGATCCTGGCAAAATAGAGAAGCCAGCATGGACTATATGGGCATGAGTAAGGTAACTTATATCACCAAACAAGCAAGCTATTCCAAAGAAAAAGAAAGACACGGCTACCAGGAGGTCACATAGAATCTTGTGCCTGGCTTGACTCAAGAGTATTTATTGTAACTAAGCAAGGAGAAGGACCAACAGATACAGGGATATTATGCAGAAGAGTACTGTGAAATGACAAAGAGGAGTATGGACCCTGGGTCCTAACTCCCCAATATTCATAGAGTCAAGTTTTTGTATTATTTCTTCTCTGCAGTTTTATATTAAAAAAGAACCTTGCTAGTGAGCCAACTTGCTCCCTTGAAGAAGCAAGCAGCCTCAGAGTAATTGAATCCTCAATTTTAATAGGAGCTTGTTTTATTTAAAAATGGCATCTTAATTTTTAAGCTGTCATCGGAGGCTTATGCTCTGGCTCAGCATAATGTTCTTTGTTGGACAAATTGAAAGTTTCTATGTAATCCTTTCCTTATACCTGCTATCTCTACCTTAACAGAAGTATAGAAGAATATTTAAGAAGTTTACTTTGTTGAAAACCTTGATGCTATACAGCTGAAACAGAATTAATGTCCTCTGGTTTACCAAACTAGCTCTTTTCAACCCATTCTGTTAGGAAAATACAGAAGCTGAAGGCATTTGAATGCTTTCATATTATGACCTATGAAAAAGTATTTTGTTGATTCCCATTTTGAAACGATAAATATCAAATACTGATATTTAGTATTCAGTGATTTATTTACAAACTCAAATTGAATTACATCACCTTTACATCTCAAATTCAAATTGGGTCTCGGCTGAAGGTTTCAATGAATCAGTTCTGTGTTTTCCACCATGCAGTACATATGTCAGTTCTTTGTGAGCCAACAAATAGCTTCCAATATATTCTGAAAATAAAAAGGTAAAGGTTTTCCTTGTCTAGTCATGTCCAACTCTAAGGGGCATCTTTGTTTCTTAGCTGAGGAAGCTGGTGATGTCCAAAAACACTTCAGTGGTCATGTGGCCAGCATGATTATATGCTGTGGCACACGGAACACTATTTTCTTCCCACCAAAGTGGTACCTATTTATCTACTTGCATTTGCATGCTTTCAAACTCCTAGGGGGCAGGAGCTGGGGCAAGTAACGGGAGCTCAACCCATCATGCAACACTCAGATCTTGAACCCAGGCTGTTAGCTTTCCATCTGACAAGCTCAGCGTCTTTAACCACTGAGCCATTACACCTGCATATACTGAATATGTATATAAAGAATAGAGTTAATATAATAACACAATACAATACAATACAATACAAAAAATACAAAGGGAAAAGTCAATTTTATCAAAAGAGCTTAACTTGTACTATGTAATAATAAGCAGTAGACAAAGCAATTGCCATGATATCTTCACAATTTAGCCAGGTTTCAATTATTGTTTATAACACAATAGAATTGTCAATTAGACATTAGATAGGAAATTAGCTTTTCTGCTTAGTGAGTGTGGATGCCATAGAACACAGCTACAAGGAAACATATTTATAATGTTTCTAATGCAGGGGAATCTGACTTTATGCTAAATAGTCTATTACTAGCAGGGAGCTCTTTTTGTCAAGCTTAGCCAAGATGCTGTCTCCAAAATATGGAAGTCATAACAACAGTATAGAGTTATGTGATACAGAAATATTCTTGCCTCATTTTGTGTTGACAAGAAGATGTAAATAACAGGTGTAAGTAAGCACACAGACATAGAAACTATCCTAGTATACAAGTCCTAGGTACTCTTGCAAAGAAGAAACATATGAAATATCTGGATCCTGGGATGTTGCTGTGCACATGCCTGTTCCAGGGTCCATCCACTATCATTCTTGAGGATTTTTGACAGGCAAAAGGGACATAAGGCAATCTTTGTGCTATGTATGACGATAGTTATGTTTCATTTAATGAAATCCCTTTACTGATATGCCTATTGTCTTTGAATTGGAACAAAATTTGTTTCCTTGTTATAGTACATAACACAACCCTTTTACAATTATGTATTACCCAAAACAATGTTTTATATTATTATTTCTTATTAGATTCAGCCATGGAGGGTGTGACAGATAAGCCAATCTTAGACTGCTGTGCCTGTGGAACTGCTAAATATAGGCTTACCTTTTATGGAAACTGGTCAGAGAAATCACATCCAAAAGATTATCCACGTGAGTATTCTATTTTTTTTTCATGCATTAGAAGACCCTACATGGTCTTTCAAAGGACTTTAATTATTTTGTATTCAGATTTTACACATGCGTAGAAAAGCAGCCGAGCTTTCATAACCAAATGTAAAGATTTTTCAGTTATTTTATGGATCATGAGATTTCAACAGCCCTCTATTACCACCCTACAGGGAAAATACTGAGACAAAATAGCATTTCAAAGCATTGAACATGTAGGATTACAGATCTAATTGGATGCTTATTTAAAAACATGGCACCCTAATTGCATTCATGCTCTGGGCTATTATTTTCAGTGCTGATCAGGATTTTATATATACATTTAATTTAATATAATCCTGATACTTAGTGGGGGAAAAAACTCAGCCATTATTTGATTGCAGCTCCCTGTATTAGAGGTCCTAGGGTTTTACCTTTTTTTTTTTCTAGTTCTATTGTTGGACTTTACTTTTAGATCTTTAAATAATACCTTCATATCAGTGGCAGTGAAACCAACCAAATGAACCGAAATTTTGAATCATTTTCAATTTTGCTTTAATAAAGATTATACAATGGGCAATGTATTATGAGAGGCTTTGTGCGTATTTTATTCTTTAATATTGCTTTGTTCCCAAGCAACAAAGCTAAAGTTCATGCAGCCAGAAATTTTGTCTGTATATCAAGTGTTATTGATATCAGCTTCATAGATTTTTGCCTAAGCTTTATTAAGTTGAAGACTGCCACTGATTCAGATATAGAGCTGGATATGTTAATAAAGGAGTTTATATTGACACATTAAAATTTGTGCTTTGAATTTGTGACTGAAGTTGAAAACCATAGACCAAATGCAATAATTAACTTTTCCTACAGCTGAGATTCTATAGTGCAGGGGTCCCCAACTCCAGTCTGCTTTTGGGCCCTGAGCCTTTTGTAACAGGGCTGCAGAAGTGGTAGAAGGATGAGTGTGCACATCCCCACTTGCACAAGCAGCGGCTGAGCTCACTCCATTTATGTGAGCGGTAGGACACGTGCCTGCCTCTCACAGAAATGGAGTTGTGCCTGCACCCACTTGCCTGTTGCATGTAGGGAACCATCCCCTCTCCCCCCCCGTCCGCAAAGCTAAAATGATTGGAGAACTCTGCGGTAGTGATTGTTGATAGGAAAAGTATTTGATATACTTCAACTGGTAGACTAAAAATAAAGTTCTTTTGTTATTTGTAAACATTTTTTCTGAATAATGTGGGTTCCAAGTTCTGTTTGTTGCTTCTTCAGCTAATGAATATTTATGAGTAATCTTTTTAGCTTAAATGAGATTCTTATCTCACCTTGTGGTAAGATGGGCAGTAAATAAATTTAGTAAATGAGTAAAAAAACAAACATAAATCTCCTTTTCAGTTATTATTTCAACCTGGCCATAGGACTATCACTGGGATAATGTATTAAAATATAGATTAAATACTATAAAATGACCTATAAATCTAGTATCTGTTACTTAATATGACCCCCCAAATGTTTGCAGCTCAGTTTTAGTGTACATGGAAAAGTGGGTTATTGGTCAGCCAAAGACAAAAAAAGGGGGGGGGGCATGGAGAAGAGAAGATATCAGGCACATTTATTGAGAAGCATGCAGATTACAGGAATATTTTTATTCAATAGCTGGGGCTAATATTACACAGTTAAAAGAATGATGGTGAATTTAAATCCAGGGTGCACTAATTGAGAATTCCTGCACTAGAGTAGTATTTTATAGCCCATTTTTATCTCAGGGGGATATTGTCATGGGTTTCTTTTTAAATCTTACCCAATTAGTTTGACCCAGGTTCTCAGAGACACAAAAGCCTTGGACCCCAGACAAGTATTTTATTTAGATCTTCCTGTGAGAGTTGGGGAGATATTTTATTGTGTAAAAACAAATATATAAAAGTGTTATGTGGGTGCTTTCTATATTCTGTTGCTTTCTCTATTATACTGCAGTGTATACTATCTCTATTCAATTGCTGTTATGCTGTATGTTATTTCTGTTCAGTATACAATACCCTCTTCAATTTTAATTTTTCCCATCTCAAAGCTTTTTCAAGGCTTTAGCAAATTCTGTGGAGGAGAGTATTATTCTGGAACAGCTTTCCTCTGATATTTGTATATTGATATATAAATATTGTTTAAGTATCATAGCAAAATTTGGTGCAGCTGTTAAGGCATCAGCCTAGAAACTGGGAGTTTTAGTCCTGCCTTAGGCACAAAGTCAGCTGGGTGACTATAGCCCAATCACTCTCTCTCTTTCTCTCTCATCCCTAGGAAGAAGGCAGTGTCATATCCAAAAACCTTGCCAGAAAAACTGCAGGGATTAATTCAGACAGTTGCCAGGAATCAAAAATCTGGCTCCAAGGCACAAAACAAAAGCTACAGCGAAGTCCTGTTACTGTAATTCTTTAAAGACCCAATCCAAGTTCCATTCAACAATTCTGTTTTACCTGATTCTGTCCTCACTCATCATACCAAGTTCTTAAAGAAATAATCACTTTTAAGTCATCTTTCCCTTTTTTTAAACAAGAAGTACATATCCACAAAAAAACACTTGACTGTAATAATCATCCATTTACTTCAATAATAATCTTTTATGATTGATCTTTTAAAACCAATGTCTTGTTTGACTAGTACATACTATTGCTCTTAACAATATGCTACATATTCACGGCAGTGCTACTGAGACAAACTCTTTGATTGCTCTGTAATTTATATCATTTGCAACTACCTTCTTTTTTTCTAAACAAAACTCTGTTGTCACCATTAACAAAAGAATGTGGAACAACTATTGTTGCTTCATTATTCCAGCAGTTACCATTATGCATTCTCATTCTGTCATTGCATTCAATTATAATAACAGTTTTGCCCTTCAGTTATAATACATTTTCTTCTTACCTGCTATTTCTTTGTTTATTGGAATATGAGGTGCAACACTGCTAGCCACAATCATTGCTAATTATATGCAGTCTAGTAAAACTTCACTTTTGAAAAACAGCTCCATGGGAAAGTGATATTGTTCCAAAATTACTGATTTCTTACATAATTAAATCTATGGAGTTAATTTGGGGATATAAACCAAAACAATGCACTGAAATTTTTATTCCCTTTTTTAACTAACATAGGAAAAAATAATGTTTTCCAGTTTGGTATTGATATGAAGAGTGACATTCTGCTTAATCTTTTGTCATTGTATTAGTACTATTGCATGCAAATAATTATGTTAAAATTCTGTAAAATGAATATATAATATACAAAGTAATAGAATATTAAAAAATTAAAATGCAATTAATTCTCAATAAAACAATAAATCTACTTTCAAAATATAAAATCTGGAACAATCAATTCAACTAGACAATAAGGTAATTAAGGTAATAAGTAATATAAGAATCTTAAATCTTAATTATACATATACATACATATGGACATCATTTTAAAATGTTCATTTTCCACTAGCTTCCATGAACTAACAAAGTATAACTTGGTGATGTCCTTAATTCATCAGACCCCCCCCAAAAAAAAACAAATAAAGCAAGGCCTAAAGCTATGTATTTTAGCTCCTTTATAAATTCTATTAATTTAGACTTTAATTGAAGAGTTAAAGGAAGTTGACTTCACAAAACAAGAACTAAGGGACATAAACACCCAAAGACAAAATGTTATTCTAGTAAATGAAACAAACTAGATCAGGTTACTTGCCGAAGCATGTAATGAGAATGGAGGATAATGAGGACAATGAAGAATACAGTATCTATAGGGAGAGCTTGGAAAATGATAATGGGACTAGATTTGAAGTCTATAGAAAAATATTACCAAAAGAGGAATTTGACAGAAGGAGGAGACATCACAAGGTGTCCTAAAAGAAATCTTGGGATTGAATAAAGGCTGAAAGTAGTATATAATTGATAAACTGCTACCTTAGCCCAGAAATGAAAATAATCAGCTTTCTAGTCTCATGGCTACAGGATGATCAGGAAAACAATAACATCAGCAGCAGCAACATGTCTTACCCATGTTTAAGGTATGCAATGACATCCAAGCCAAAACACCTGAGAGGCAATCTAACAAAATATGTTATACTGTTATTTGTAATGACTGGTGATTTAAAAATATATATAATTGATTGATTGAGATTGGGTTACACTGCCTCATCTAAAAGAGATATGGAGGCCTATACCTGAGTGGAATTTATATAAATGTAATACTGAATCTGGCAATGTGAAATTAAGGATCCAAAAAAAAATTATACTGATGATATAGTAAACAGTAAAGAAATATCCTAAGGAACCATAAGAATAACAGAAAAGAAGAAGAAACCATTCTAATCAAGTGAAAACTTACAACCAAGAATAATACCTAGTTACCTAGTTTAGGTAATGAAAGGTCTGCAAGAAAGCAACCAAGGTCAGCGAGCACCAAGGACCCCTGATTTCAATCCTGAGGTACAAATATTCTCCTTTATTGGTAAGCTATTGATTGATAATAGATTGTTTAATATACAACTGTTTGACTATTAAAAGTTAGTTTTAGTTTTATTTCATCCACTGGGACTCTTCCAATACTTTTTCTGTACCTGGATTTGCATTGCACATACTGATTAAGTCAGGAACAAAGATTCTTAGGGGGTAGCACCTGGCTACAACAGGAGCCAGAAAGTCAAGATTTGATGGTAGTGCTAAAGGAAATGTTCAGGGCTTCTGCCAGTTTTAGTATCGTTCCAGTTTTAAATATCTGACAGCAAGAAGACACAAGCTGGGAAAAGGATGTTGGAGAAATTTGATTTTCTGGCTGGGAGATGACATTACAAAGCACCAGACGGTGTGCTGATACATCCCGCAAAGAAAACTGGATAATAAAGTAGTCCAGATGGCATTATTGGGAAAAATTACAAAATCATAAAGACAGACAAGGTTTTTTCTCAATTTGGGTATTCAAGAAGAATTAAGTGAAAAGGTGCCAAAAGAGAGGAAATTTCAGATCTTAAC